AAGCAATTCCTTCATTCGACACTCACTTCTGCATCAACACATGGATGTTTTACCGTCCTCCCGAGCACCAGCAGAAATTCATGCAGGAAGGCAGGCAGCGAGCCTCACCACTCTTACAGCCCGGCACTCGGCGCAGCAGTGCCGGTGTGGCGCCGTTCCTGAGATCTTTCAGACTCTGAAGCCTTCTCCTAAGGCACCCACGCAGCACCCACACATCCCCCTGCAACAGCTAGTACCCGAGGAGCCACTTAAGGACGACAAAAGGTTATAACTGTACTAAATTCCTGCCCTCATTAACAAGGCACGTTTTGGTAGGACTGTACCTGGAAACTGTAGCTGATCCTCAACGGGGAGAAAATGAGAGAGAGAGACAGAGAGAGAGTGCGCACGAGTCTGAGCTTTGTGGTTAGAAGAACAGTACGAGCATTTTAAAACAGCAAGGGAGTGGAAATCCCCTGGTGTAGCTTTGAAAAGATCACGGCTAAAACTGTTTCAGAGGTGCTAGGACAGAAGCAAGCCATTGAAAAGTATTTTCCCTTGCAGCATCGATGTAGCAACTGCAGAATTCACTATCTGGAGAAGCATAAGGTTACCAAGAACTTTTCTCACAGTTTTTGTCCGAGATACAGAGGAGTCTTCACAATGATAGCATCACTTTCATAAAAGCAGTGAGTGATGTGACAAAAGGAAAAACAAATAGTCAGCAGGAAGCACTTCAGGATGCAAGGACCAGCCCTGCAAATCCCTACACAGGCAGCCCTTGTGGGCACAGGTGGATCCGCTCGCTGCAGGAAGCTGAGGAAACTGCACCGCCTCGAACACGGCGCTATTCACAGGAACTTACGCTCAAGGCTGCATGGACATTTTACATTTAAACTCAATTTTCCAACTGAGATAAAACCTATTTTATGAAAATAAGTGTTTATATTTGGATTTGCAATAACTAAAGCAGCCATGCATCCTAGTTATTTCATAGCCTGAAGTGCCTCCACAGACTGTGTACGTCACCCTCCTTTCCCCCGACCAAGCCACACTTCCCCTCCCGTAGGTTCCATCTCCAGCCCCTCCGCCGGCTTTCTGGTCTCTTCTTTTAATTTATTTGGTATGTTAACAAAGGAAGCCATCAGCTTGAGTACTGGGCCTTGGCTTGGTCAGTTAGATAAGCCCCTAACTAAGCAAAGTAATAACAGTTACTTGCCCCGCGAAGTACCTTATTTTCTCTAAAAGCAAAACATTTGAGCTCTCCTGCTGTTTAAAATACGGGTATTCCAAAGAAAGCTTCCTTTCTGTCTCATAGCAAATGCCACACATACTCTCTTTACCCTTTTCCCTTTAGTTAAGCTTGCTCCCAGAGCGTTTCTAACCTGGTTCAATCACTATCTCCCCTCCCAGGCAGCATTTCAGCTTACCACATCTTCCTGAACCTTCCCTGAAGCCCTGGAACAGCTGCGTCATCGCTGAGGTCAATACAACGCTGGCAAAGTGAAAGGCATCTACTTGAACGCATGCTGCTTCTTCATGTGATCAATTAAACTGCTCCGAGATGCATTTCGAGGCATAGCCTGAGCCCACTTCTGTGTTTAAGCTCTATAAAGCAGAAGGTATCATTTCATCCTTGCAACGTCCTTAGGATGTGCCTTGGTCAAGCTGCTGGCCCGGCACAGCCTCTGCAGGCTGAGACCAGGAGAGGGAAATGGCTCTCACGGGGATTGTCCTTGAAGCAGGCAGCTCTGGAGGAAGCACCTGTCCCGCCGGGGCCGTCGGGAGGCAGCGCTGGAGGGAGCCTAACGCAGTGAGCGCAGCTCCAGGAAGCGCCATCTGCTTCTGGGAAGCTTTGGGGAAAGCCCCAAATGGAGAAGTTGAGTAGGAGCAGGATCTTCATTTTAAACAACCTCACTCTGCAGATGAGTAGCAGGCGATGGGCCAGGCTTGTTCATGGGCACCCCTCGATTTCCTCTAGCTAAGTGCAGTGCTGAGGACTGACCAAGGCAGGGGGAACCAGCAAGGAGCATCAGCACGGGATGACAGTAGGTGAAAAGACAGAAGGGAAGAGCACTTAGGAATGAGGGGAAAGAAACAAAGATGTGGGAACAACATAAACAAGCAAAAAGTACTGAAATGAGGTAACATTTAAGGGATGGAGAGCAAGACAATGAGCTTTTTGTTTTTTTCTTGAAGTGCATCAAAACCAAAGCGAAATCCTCACTTTTCCTAACAAATAGTAGGCTGCCACATGTTTTGCATGACTAGGCCCAAGAAGCTTTTAACGTTAGCTCTCCTTCCCCGCCACCAGGCACACACTGCTCAGCCGCAGCGGCCATCAGTGCCTATTCAAGGCACAGGAGGCTTGTTTTAATTCTCCGAGCACACAAGCATCTGACTTGGTCTTAACGAGTGACTTAATCAGCACGTACACAGAAATCTGAATAAACTCATGTGGTGGTTTAGCTACCCAAATTACTAGGACAAAATCAAATTCTGCTAAGTTTTCCAGGACACAGGAAACTTTGGCAGGCCACCCACTTCTTAAATGCTCACTAGTTCCAGGGGTTAAAGACTTCTTTCACCCCAGCTGCAGGAGTTCACAAACCCAGTGGATTTTGCTCAAATACATGCATGCATCTGATGACATACAGATACACATTTCTTAGCCACAGTCCTCACTGATAGGGAAATCACGAACGTCAGACACCGAATGGCAGCAGTGACCCCGTGAACTTGCTCTTGGGGAAGTGATGACAGTGGAGATTGCCACTGTTGTCTTTTCTTAAAAACAAAAAAGGGGAAAGGACACGTTCTTAAGAAGTCCTGATAAGATCAAACATGACACGCCAGAGGTTTGCACAGGTGGAGATGGGGAGATGCTCTCGCACAGCCCGTTATCAGGTGAGCTGCCATGTAAGGATGCTAACATGCTCAGGGTGGCACCCAGCCCTGTTCTTGCTGTTGGCACCACTTTTAGCTTTATTATATACATCATATAATTATAATATATATATATATGTTTTAGCTTTATTATATATATTATATATTTAGCTTTATTTTGCTGAACAGCATCGCTGCGTTTTTAGTGACCTTAAGGCGTGCCTCATGCATTGCCAAGGTCAACGTTGGTAATTCCTCAGGGAACAACTGCCCTGACACGAGGTTTAACGTCAATGACAAAGAAACAGACAAGTTTTCTACACAGATAGTGCCCAGTAGCCTTGCACAATGTCTGCCATTGAATATGTGATCCGGTGACCACTGATACCTGCTGCCTCTAGGACAACGATAAGAAATGAAACCTGTGATTTTGCTTTCACATTTAGTAAGGACCACGTTCCAGTTTCAAGTGCATGGATTCACTGTTGGCTTAGGGCAGAAACTCTGTGTCAGAAACTGATAACACAGCCTCTGAGCAGATGAGGCTGAAAACTGTACGGGCTCACCGACGATAAGACCTCAGAGCAACTATTTTGGGCAAAACTACTTTGCGGATTGCTCCTCTCCTTGAGGCTTGTTTCGTCACTAGGTGGCTTTGCGTAATAACAATAAATAGCTTTTGCATTTCAGTATTACCTTCCTCAAAATATGGACACAGCAGCATAGAGAACATGGTATGCAGATGTCAATACACTACAAACATAAGCTTGCTTTCAGAGTTCCCCCCACAAAGACAAATATGCTTATCTATAAAGCACTCTGGGCAGTCCCATATCAAAACCACTGTGGTTTAGGGTGCAGACAGTTTCTCACACACTTATTTATTTGTCGCAAGACTGAGCTGTGGAGACTATGGAAATTTTTGCTACGTTTTTATTAACAATATTCATGACTCAAGTTTCCTTACACTCATGAGCAGTGCGGTGCACCAGGCTAAAGAGGTTAGCCTCTTTCCTGGGCTGAGGGAAGAAGGTGGAACAACTGCATGTACAACCCAAACCAATGCAGATAAGAGTAGGATGACTAACGGCGCGAACATTAACTCTTCATGGTCACGAGCCAAGAAACTTGGAAGAAAAGGGCCAGAAAGTAAAGCGAGGTTCTGACACCATCACTGCAGAGCAGGGCACAGACCCCAGGGGGCATGGGGTGTGTTGGCGTGCTGCTCCTGGCAGGCCACTCAGCACTGCAGAGAATGGGATGCCTACACGGTGAAAGGAAATACCTCTATCACTGCATGTATCGTGAAGATTAAGAGCCCAACAAATTCATACAGACTCCCTGGAGTGCCAGAGAGAGAAATGCTCTCTCCATAGCCAACCATTTATTGAAGATAAATCACCTCTATCTCTTCATAATCAAAGGCTCTGAAAAAAAGAACTGACAAAGATAAAGGCCTGGGGTTAGCTTAAAGAAAGGACACAAATAAAGCCAGGGAGATCGAGCACCCAACACGTCTCTAGCTGCAGACTGAAGCAATTTTGCAGTTATCCAAACAGTATTGAGCACAAAACGAACAGTTCCTGCCCTGTCTGGAGCTGTGGATGCCTCATATCTGGAGGTGCTCAAGGCCAGGCTGGATGGGGCTTTGGGCAGCCTGGGCTGGTGGGAGGTGTCCCTGCACATGGCAGGGGGTTGGAGCTGGGTGGGCTTTAAGGTCCCTTCCAACCAAACCACTCTGTGATTCTGTGACATATCCTGGAGCTCCCGACCTGGACTGCAGCTCTCTGTGTTTGATGGCTACGCAAAAATTATGCTCCTGTCTTCAGGAGACTGTTTAGCAAGCACGTGGGTGAAATAATGAGCTGTCTGGCTTCTGTTCTTTGAACTCATTTGAAATTCCTTTTGTCAGTGTCTCCAACAACAGCTTCCTAGCCTTAAAATCCTGTTCTCTCCTGGATGTCATTTCTCATGCTCCCTAAACTCCGTAATTACTACTTCGATGTATCTTCCCATGACCTACGCGGCGTCAGCGAGTGCCACAAGCTCTGCTTTCTTCCTTCCTGACTTGCCTTCTCTCCAGGCAGTTAACACCTCTTTAGCCAAAGCTTCCTGCCAGCTGCTCGCAGGCTCACCGTGCTGCTGCAGACCGCTGACCGTCTTCCTGCAGAAGCTCAACTCTGGGCCTCTCCTCCTGCATCTGTGCTGGGCACAATGGCCAGCTCGGACACAACCCACTGCCTTCCCCACGGGGCCCCTGCTGCCCAGTCCCTCGGTACCTGTGTTTGGCACAACCAGCCAGGATTACTCGTGGGTTCATAACCTTCTTCTGTCTACTTACACACATAAAAGCCCTGTCCATGCTCTCATCCTCCTCCTGCTTTCCAAATACCCGGTTCTCCTGTAGCGTGAACTGTACGTCTTATTTATCCATCCTGCATGACTCAGGGATCATTCTTCTAAGCCACAGCTACAACCACATCACCTCACACTTCTCCAGCGCACCAAAACCCCAGCTTTCAAAGCCTGTTCTCCTCTCCAGGCTCTCAAAGCCCGGCCTCCCTCCGCTTGCTCCATCACCACCTCTGGCTGGATGCTGCTTACTGTCGTATACCCGAGCCAGCGCGTAGAGGCAGGGGGTATGTTTCGGAGGGATGCCAGCCATCAGCTCTCCCTCACATCTCCACCAAGCAGCCGCACACAGCAGCCTTCTGCTGAGCTGTGCAGAGCTGGAGGGCCCCGATGCGAGCTGCAGGCCCCCTGTGCTCACACACCGTGCTCCTGGCCCTGACGAGCGCTTCTCCCCGTGACAGCAGCACACGATACGATAAAGCTGGCAGCGAAGGCAGCTCCTCCAGCAGCACCAGGCGCTGAGGCTCGGGCGAGGGTAAAAGGCACCCACCAAGGCAGCGCAGCCGGCAGGGCTGACGCGAGGCGTGATGCGGGGCCAGGTGAGCACCAGGAGCTGTGCTCAGCACGGGAGCCGTGCCAGCTCGGCTGGGGCTGCCCTAAAACACCCGCTGCCAGCCCCCAGCAGGCCTGACCCCACACGCCCCGCTTATTTCCAGCATGCAGCCGGCCACCCCGCAATCCCCAGACACCCGCTACGAGGGCACCTGCCCCCAAATCCCCCCAAACCCCCCCCAAATCGCCCCCAAACCTCCCGGCCCCGCCGCACCTGCCCCGGAGCTCGCTGCCCGCCGGCCCCTCCCGTGGCTGTCGGTGCCGGTGCCGCCTCCGGGAGCCGCTTTCGCTTTCGGGGCGGCCGCGCCCCCAGCGCCCGATGGCGGGGGGACGGGGGGGGGCTGCCAGGGCCTGAGCCCGGCCTGAGGCGGCGGCTGCTCGCCCGCCGAGACCCCCCCCCCGAGGCCGCCGCCAACGCCTCAGCTCGCTCCGGGCCCCCCCGGCAGGCTGGATGCTGGAAAAATACCATCCCAGCACGGGAACAAAAAAGCATAATGGATGGAAACCAATCAGGCTCCGTTGTCTCAAGTGTCTGAAGAGCATGCTCTAAATAATGGTAATAAAACATAGCTGCAGGATTCTTCTAATGCTGTGAATGAGAGGGCTGGGGCTCCCCACTCACATATGTCTGCCCATTGCTTTTATTTCCTGACTTCTGCAAAGGTGCAGAGACCAGCGCTGCAACTGAAAACTTACCAAGAACTCTGCCTTGCAAAACAGGAATTTTTCTTTTATGAATATCCTGATGAGTCTGGGCTCTTCCTCCCCGGGAAGTTCACTGAGACATCAGTCAGAACAACAGGCATTATATTTCTGCCATATATATATATATATATAAAGGTAAAGGAGTAGCTTCTTTGGAGGTGGGATCTTGTTCCCAAGACAGACATTTTCTGTGCTCACAATCCTCAGCCTACTGCAAAATGTTTCAACTCCCCCAGAATGTAGCTTCGTGGTGACAGAGGGTCTGTGAAAAGGACCATCAGGTATCAGCGTACCGACCCTACTTCTGATTTACAGCTCTTGATACACAGTGAGCACAACACAAGACTTCTTTTCTATTAGGATACAGTCACGTTCCTGGAGCAGATTGTGATCCCTGAATCTCTGAGGCTACTTTTGTGATAGTCCTAAGGGAACCTCCCATGTTAGTAACATCAATGAGGATTTATTTTGCTATCATTATTTTCATGTGCAAAACTACACAAATAGATTTATTGTAAAGTTCTACTTCACTATCACTTTTAGGATATCCATTATATAAGCAGGCTAGTTGCTTATCAAATAGTCCAGATACTGTTGTTTGTATACTTTGTCTCCTCCCTAATGGAGTAGAGCTTTTTTCATCCTTAATTCACCAGTAACAGGCTACAAACGGTATTAAAAAATTTAATTTTTCTTTTCTGTATTTCACTATTTTCAATATATATATATATAATTTCTTCTGTATTCAGCTTCCTATGATCTTAGAGCAGATCTCTTATCATGCCGGTGCCTGCTTTTAACTCACTCCGAGAAAGGTAAACTCTGAGGTTTAGCTATTTCAACCTCAGGAAGAGCTGGAGGTTCACCACATTTATTAAAACTACTGAGTTGTATTCAGCACATTTTACAGCTACATTGCAAAATGGTGCACTCTAACAGCTGATAACTTCTCTATGGTTTCCTTTCCATTTTGAAATGCAAATTGACACAAACACTTTCAAGAAGTTTCTCTTTGCCCTGGCTTTGCTTTCATCTCTGACTACCACATTTCTGCCTAGCGCCAGTTCTCACTTCAGCCTATTCTCTTCCTTTGCTGGCAAGAGGCTCAACACTGGCCTAGTAACCTTCATCCTAAACTCATACTTTAACTTCGTAATTCTTGTCAATTCATACTCAACTTTGTGGTTTCCAGAGTAAGAGGTGTATGACTTAAGAAAAAACAACAGAGATGAAAACCAAAACCTAATGACACAGGTCATTATAATTCCTTGTGCTCGTGATCGGCTGTAAAAACAAATTAAACTGCTTTACTATGATGTGCAATGTTTAGTGATTGTTTTTATTAATGCAGAAATACCTGCTTAACTTCATACCCATTCTGATTTAAAGTGCAACAATTAAATCTGATATTTTTGTACATCCATATTTTGCAAGTGTTGTTCCTAAGAAGACATGTAGTTCAAATTATGCCTCGCATTTGTAAAACCTATCATTTTTAGTACCGTTTTGCTTTATTAACTAAAATAAACTGTACAAAAAGCTGTAGAGTTACATTAGCATTGAACAATGTAGGATACACGTTCTCTGCCAAACTTTAGTGTGCAAACATTTTACATTTTTTAAAGTGACAAAATTAAGCCAACCTTGAAGTCAGAGTTCATTACTACATTACAAAAACAGGAGACCAGATATGGCAAAAGAAATTCCCCACTGAAATCAACACCATTGTATAATTTTATTTCTAATTCTTAAAAAAATATAAATGAATTTAGAAGAGAATCACAGTATAAGGGCCCTAACATATTAGACCATTACAAGGTACATAAAAATAGAAGACACAGATTTCTTTGAAACTTTAATCCTTTGATTAAGCAGCAAGCATATCACTCTCCAGGCAAACACTGCTTAAAACAAACCCTACCCCCAAAAACAGGACGTGCAAACTGTATGCACATACTCTGCAAAGCACACAATAAAGACATTTTGCTATGTACATACTTATTTAGTACTACAAATGCTAGGAGATCCCTACTGTGTGCTACAGTGTTTGTAAATTAAAAAATACTACCTATCTCTGACCCTCCCTCCCCCCTTCAAATACAGCACCTTCGCCCAGTTATAGAATATTTAAACAAGATTAAACTGAATTACAATGTACTGAACAGTTTTATAGCAGTTGGCAGTGGCCAACTCTACTGCAACACCCAACATTCTGCATACTGAAGTCTATCGACAAGAGACAAGACAAAAATTAGCAAAGGTACAATACGCACACCTGGGAGACTCAATGCTAAAAGAAAAAAAAAAAGAAAAAAAGAAAAAAAAAGAAAAAAAAAAAAAAGAAAAGAAAAGAGAGCAAGAAATACTGATGATTTATCCTATCACTATTAACAATTAAACTGAGATACTTAGGCTGTCAAGAAGGTTTTCGTATCAGTTTGGAATTCTGGACAGCAGCCAGATCAGACCTGTGTGTAGCTGTTGAGGGGCCACTCAGGACTTCCAGAACAAAAGTTTAAGTGATCACAAATTCCTCGGTGCTTGTTCTATGATGCTGCTTCTCTTAGAAGAGAGGTCAACTGGTGCTCACATAGTGGCTAAGAACCTACTCTGATGCAGAAGAATATTCCTAAGAAGGACCCTTTTTTGTATGAGACCTCAGCACACTAGTGATGGCTGTTCAGAAAGAAAAATCAAGTTTGATCTGGAAATATATTTGAGCGAAGAACTAAACTATGAAGGTCAGCACCTTAATTTCAATTCAGGTCACAAATATCAAACTCTAATACAAGATTTAAAAAGGAAACACGATCTGATGCTGTAAGAACTTCCCTTTGCAGAAATGAAAAACCTTAGCCAACTGCTGAACTGAACGTTAGACGATTCAATTTATCTGTGAAAAAGCCTAGGGAGAGCACATTCCATTTTCTAATATAGTCTCATCTTAGTCAAGGGCAAATCTAGTTAATAACAAAATGGATTTAAAAGGACTTGCAAACACCACTTCAGTTATAAACAAAAATAATTTTATAGAACAGTATGGCAGTCAACACAAATGTTTCTACACAGTCAAGAACGCAATGTTTTTCAATAGCTTGATTCAGATCATAGTTTCAAACACTGCTACTCAAATTGAAGCCTGATTTCCTTGGAAGGTAGAAGCATCTAGCAAAAAAAAATACAAAAAAAAAATCACTGCTGGGTATGAATCAAGGTTTTAAGACAACAAGAAAAACTTAACAAACGCATAGGAAAATAATAACCTTATAATCTCCTAAAATTTGGGAGCTGTAATTAATATCCAAATGCAGGTTTTAGGTAGTGAACAAAACAAAAGAAAAAAGCCACAATAGCCTCAACCCAGCTAGTCAACTCTGCCAGCAACAGCAGATATCAGAAATACTCCTTTACCACTCAGACTGGGCTGGCAGCAGACAGCCCTATTGCCTACAGTATGCTACCACCACCAGCCTCTGTGCTTTCACAATGAATTTTTAGATGAGATCAATGAGCTAATGCATACGAACTGCTAACAGACATTCTCAGAGGAATGAAATTCTACTGTACTTAAGTTAGAAGAATCTGTGGAATAACATTAAATGAATAGCTCTTGCTAAACAGTTCCTCTCCTGTAATCCCCCTGGGTGTTGGAAGTTGCTGCCTTTCTCTCCACCCCAGCCTAGAGTGATACTGCAGTAGGACACCTGTTTTCAGATAACTTCTATTAGAACACATGTGAAATTTATTATGTTTGGTACAATAGCTCATTGAGTTTTTAGAACACTCTTTTAGAGAACTATTTAATAAGACCGTACCTTTTCTTTCTTTCTTTTTTTTTTTTTTTTAAACAAGAAAAGTATTCCGGGAAAAACATGGAGAAGAAACACCCACATTTTACAATTGCTTGAAATGCTACTACCGTTACCTAAACAGGGCCAAAAATTCTGAACCTAAGGCCATTAGTTTTTTTTTTTTCATCCACTAAAATGTACAAAAAATAAAAAACAAAAATCACACACACAAAAATAACGCTACATTTAAGTCTCCTACAATATTACTTATTCCTAGATTTGCCAGACTACTTTTCTGTAATTAGATGTTTGACTACAAAGAACTGTAATAAAATAAATAGAGTAAAAATCAGTTAAACCAAATCTTGGTGTGTTGAACATTTATTCATGTAAGAAGTTAGCTTCCTTCAACAGTTATTCATGTAGAGGAGGGCTGTATTGTAGGCATGATTCTGCTGTACAAGTCTTCTACAAAAAATATTTTTATACAGGTGGTCGTTCACAGTGGTTCCATTTCTGGTTATTTTCTCGCTCCTCTGTAAAACTGGTCTGATACCTGTGAAGGCTTGCTGTTTTCTCCCCTTCATTATTTGGAAAAAAAAAAAAAAGTACATCGATACTGTTTTTCAGCTGTAGGAGTTAACATAATTCTGCTTTATTTCTTCAGTGCAGGGTGGACTGAGATTCTGTCTGAATTCCAATAAGCGAGGGTGGCTGCTGGCCGCTAACTGTGGTTAACACCGGCCTTGGGTTTAGACGAGGAGGCATGGAATTAGCTGGGCGGATGAGCGGCGGGGGAGGCTGATTTAGAGTTGGCCTTGGCTGAATAAATCGCGCCTGTTGTTGAAGTGGCGGAGGCTGGCGATGGAGCGCAGGAGCAGCAGGAAGCGCTGGTCGAAGTAACGGGGGTGGCTGATTTAAAGTTGCCATGGGAGCGGTAGGTGCTGGAGCAGATGCCTGTGCTGGAGGTGAAGGGCCTAAACACTGAGTGGTCGGAGTGCTTTGTGCCTGCACAAAGGACAAAGACAAGATTGCATGAACAGCCGTCCCAGCCGGAATGCCGTGCCAGTTGGGTTGCCACTGTCCACTATACAGGAAACAGCATTTATCAAACAAAACCGAAAAACTCAGAAGTTACTGAAAAGAAATCGCCAACCAAAATATTATAGACAGCAGAACTAAAAATATTTATGAAGCAAGAGTCTTCTTTCTAGAACAAGATCTGCATTTTAACAATAAAACAGTAACGTGATCGTCACTATGCAAGGTGCCGTCCTGTTCCCAGCGGGTTAACGACATTGGCTGAAGTTCTATGCAAGCTTATCATCATTCTTTAGAATGTGGTTTGCCACTCCACACCAGTTAACCTTACATTACATCACTAAATAAAATGCTGTTCCTCAACCCATGCTTACTTATATCTGGTACACAAAACACACCTCATCTTCTTCATCAGTGCTCTTTCCTGATGGCACATTAGAAGTATTTTTTGTGTCCTCCCCTAAAGCAGAAGCATCACCATTAGAAGCCAGGGTTCCTTGTTCCGCTTCCCATTCCTGCAATACCTCCTCTAAGTTAAACCGACGCCTGTAGTTTACAAAGAAGTTCTTCACTTGGCCAACAGTCTTGTTGCCAATTACATCTGCAATAGCTTGAAAATCTTTACCATATTTGCGGACACCTGGAAGGCAAAGTAAATAACATAGCTGTGAAGGATCAGTCAGACACAGCTACGTGTGATGTATTTATAGAGAGAACCTACGGGACCTGCAAACCAACGACTCACTAACTAGGCGGACTTCTCAATTAGGAGAAGGCCTCAATTTCTATTAAAACAACAAAAAAAATTAATTGCATAGCTATAAACACATAAATGAAGAACTTTAATAAAAGGTCATTACCCAGTCTTCTTAAAGATCCTGGCTTACTCACCAAACCAAGCCTCCCAACCTAAAACCACAGAGATCTGGCCTCTGACAAATGCAGTAAATCTTTCAGTATGCTTGGACTGAAGGCAGAAGCCCAAGCTAAGTTCAAGGTGGGAGAGGGAGGGTGACTGAACAAATGTGTACAGCTGTAACAAGACATGCCAAGGAACAAACATTGACAGCTTCGATAGGGCAGCCTCCATGCCAGCTGCCCACCACCTGTGCGAGAGCTGGCCAGCAGCAGCACTGAGGGCAGCAGGCGCGGGACCACGCACAGGGGCAGAGTTCTGGGAGTCCCAACACACGGCTCATCCCTCCATGTGTAGAACGCTCTACTGAGGCTACCGAGGGTAACCAGCCAGCATTCCCTGGACAAAGCCTTTTTAAAGCTTTAATTCACCATTCAAGCTGGGTAAACAACTCTGGAGTTTTGGGACAACCACCTAGGGGAAAGTAAATAAATATAAGCTATTGGGGTCTGTTTCTAAGAAGCCCAGCACAAGCCTGCAGGATCAAATTCTCCGGCAAGAAGCAGCATGACAGAAGATCTTTGCATTGTTCATTTCACTCATTTTCACATCAATATCAGTAGGTTACAAGTACTCCAAAAGAAAACACTGTTGAACCTTTCCAAAAATACCAACATGGGCTTTTTAAAGTTCTAAAATGGCATTTGCATATAACAACAACTACAGGTCTACAGACTTTTGTAATTTTAAACCTAAAATTGGAATTATAATCTGAACTTTATTGGTTCTCTGTTTTAATTAGGGTACATGTCTAGTTACTCCTCTCTATTGCTTAAGAAGAAAATCCCGAAGCTCTCCAGCATCCTTGAACACAGCTGTACAATCTATTTTTAATCATAGAGTGGCCAGAGGTCTAGAGCCTAGAGAAATTAAACATTACATGGTTGTACTCTATGGTACTGTAAGGCACACTCCAGGCTCAATAAACAGAAGCCTCTTTTTTGCTCCCAGCTATGCATGAGTGAATTACAATTTGACTCCTGATGTGCAGCTCCTGATAGCTGAACTCATTCAGAATATACTGCAGTGTTTAGAGGACAGGCATCCTGTCTCATGCCTCATTTCATGTCTTGCTTCAGAAAGTGGAACGGAAGATTCAGAAGGTGAGAGTTGTTTCCAATCCGAAAGCTATGCTTCTTTTCAACTTAACTGTTAACAGTATGATCTTCATCTTGTTCTGCTATTTTCTACTCGCTTCACTAATAGGCCTTTCTGACGTGGCACGTACACTCTCTAACATTTAAGAGAAAATTTCAGCTCTAGGAGAGTAACAATTACTGTAGCTGAAGCTGATGCTACAACTGTCAAGAGCCTGGCTACATTATTTAAGATCTTTTCTTGGGCATACAAAAGAATCCAACCTCTCTGACTGCCAGAACCTTGGAAAGAAAACAAAAGGACCTAGCAGAGCCTTGTGGGAGAGAGCATATCTAGGCAAGGCAAATACAGGGATTTGGCTTTTCATTCTCAGGTGTTCAAGGTACTAGCTAAAGGGGTACTAACCCCTTAACAGCTGCACATGCCCACAGAGCACTCCCACCAGTGTTTTAATATTGATTGCCCTGTCATTATGACCCTTGCTAATTTATGATGGCCGTTAAACGTCTACAGCAACGTATCTAACATCCTGCAGAAAGTGTCCAGCAGAACAAAGCACATTTTTGCTTGAAAACTGTTTCAGACCTTGAGTGATTTCAGGATTTTCTGTTATTATGCTCTCCATATTTCTTCCTTCCCCTTAACCTGCAAAACAGCTGAACCTGTTAGCTAACTTGAAGCTGGCAGATGCAAGGTCTTAAAGCCTATTTCCAAGCAGAAAGTTGGAAAACTGCATCGCGCCTTCCCTGAGAGCCCAACGATGAGAAACATCTAAAGAAAAACAAGCTTAATCAGTTTATCTGCACACAGCACTTATCATTTTGGACTCTTTTCAGTGTTATTTTGTACTGCTATAGCATCACCACAACGGCTTATACACAACGCCGTAGTAAAGCATTTTTAAGCTGCATCAGAAACAGAGGGAGTTCAATCCTTGTTTATGAGAGTTTTACATGTGTTGGCACATCTGTAAGAGCTGATGCCAACTCATCATCCCTTTCAAATTGGCGGGCTTTACATACACGTCCTTATAAACATCACCCAAGCTACTTCTCAAGTGTTTAATATGTTATTAATTAATTTTATTAGGCTGCTGCCAGTGCAATTCAAAATACAGCTGCACAGCCTCACTTCACAGGCACCCTTTCCCTGGCTCAGATGGAACTAGTCCTGTCGATGGGAACCCTTCAAGCTCCTCAAAACTTTACCCAGGTAAGAGCTGCACTTAACCTTGCTCAATACTACTGTGTTTCATTTTAGATGTGCAACTCTGGGAAACTCGTAAGCCTGAGTTTTACACTTCCTATTGCTGTGTGATGCTGTGCAGCACAGCACACACTGACAGGCGCACAAAAACATCAGCCTGAGCCCAAAGCAATATAATACAGCACCACAACGAGGCAGAAACAGTTAACCACAACCTCCAGGTTATGACAGCTGCAGTTCCACTGGGGTGTGATTATAGCGCTCCTGGCAACTAGCTTATGTAGAGTTGTTTTTTTTCCAACTGTTTTCCACTGCGATCCTCTGAAAATCATGCCTGCTTTTTGATTCAAATCGTGTTGTTTAGAACATGCCTTAAAACATTTTTGCAAATACAATTTTCAAATGGCTGAAATCTTAGTTTGAAAAGATGGCTGTGCTCACAGGTTCCTATACACAAATAAACTTTGCAAGTTAAGAACACCTCATATGATGAACTGACAAAGTTGAACAGTAACCTGATTAACTATACTGCAAAAGACTGGCTCAGAGATCATAAGCCTGAGTTCACAACCCCACTGCAGGCAGCCACGCTACTTTTAAAATTACACACTCAGCAATACCTTAAGGTCTTTTTTTCATTACCTCTCTTCTTTAGTTGCTGCCAATCTCTCTAGACTAGCCCACAGACTACAAGAGTTATGTCATGTTTAGAAAAAACAGTACCAAAACTGTGTTACTGCAGGTGATTTTTCTGATTCTGTAGTAGGATTTAACATCTAAATTACAGTGAAAAAATTCCAGAAACACCACCTACCTGAATAATGCTTATGATTTCTGTAAAATTATTAAAATCACATGCCAAAATAAATCAGCATTTGATGAACTAAATCTTTTTTAAGCATACAAACTAAATGTCCCCATGCTCCAGTCAACTGGCAAGTTCAAGCCTAACGCACAGTACTGTGGCTTTCAGTACAGCAACCATGGCTGCTTCTTTTAAAAGCAGAGTCAGAGCTAAAGATAGCATGGCCCTTTCATATATTAGGCTACTAATTCAAATAATTATTTTGAAACAAAGGATGGGACTTTAATACCTACAACACTCACGCCAGGAGGGAGAATTTACCACCAGACAAAAGGTAAGGGTGGGATAAGAATATTTTGTCCCTCATGCTAAGGTGTTCTTCCATCCCCATTTTATACAGTGGCCGAGGAAGGGGACTAAAATGGACACAATATAGATGAGAAGCTCATGGAAGTTCAGTGAAAACAGCTTCTTCCAGCAGGCATGCTTTCTCTTCCCACCCATAAGTATTGAGGCTGACTACCTTTATAAAACATGGAATGTTCCTTCAGGCAGAGGCCAGAAGACTAGAACTCCTCTCCAGGCAATTGCCAATCCTCTTTCTCTTTTCTGCATGCTCCAGTTTTCTCTTTTCTGTCGTTGATTACACAGTGCCATAGCTTAACAAAAGCTCAGCGCATTCTTATCACTTCCCAAACTGTTCCTTGGTTAGAGCTCTGATAATTAAACTCTGAAAATGCAAGATGATTTGAGTTCTTTCATCCTAAGGCGGGAACAATGAACCTGGATTATCCCCAATTCTGCAGCAAGCATGCTACCTACTAGACAATCATATTAAAGATAGGCACCTCCTTCTGTTGCATTCAGAAAACTAAAAAGTGAGCTAGTTACTAATACTGAGAAAAAGAACTTGGGACAGAAAACAGTTTGGAGATGCAAATCCCAGTTTCAGAGGCATGTAAATTGAAAGGCATGACTTCAGAAACACTATTCTCTTCAGTATTTCTATTCACGTTTCAAAATAAGCCTAACTTCAGGATCTGTCTTCTGGTAAATGACTACCAGGTATGGCATGCCTGACAACTTTAAACTCTTATCCTGATCCAACTGAAGGTTTGGTACTAAAATTTAGTCTTTTGTTTAAAAGCTTGTGAAGAATACAGGGATATACTGTAGATATGTTTAACTAAGCTAATGTATATTATCTTAGAAAAGACGATCCACAGAAGTCAGTCAACATATGATGACTTCAAAACAGTAACAGGCTCTCCAGAAATGTCCTTTGCATGTTCTTTGATTAGACAGTGCACATAGAAGCAGGACAAGAGTCCATTTTCTTTCATATAAACAAAATAACATCAAATTAGCCATATTAGTAGCCTGCTAGAAAATCATCATTTTTTTTTTTTTTCCTCCAATAAGACAGTTAGTTCAGTATCCATTCAGACTCTTAAAGGCCGGCTAGATATCTGCTCTTTTACTCCCTCTTGAACAGAGAAAAGAAAAAAAAACAACACTTATTTCCTGTAAAGCAATCTTATTTCTGCCTTTTTGCTACTGTAAGGATATGGAAAGATGTCTTAACAATTTTTGCTTCAAATTTTATTACTTCAACCACTATCTCAGTCTTCCATTTCGGAGAAATTCATGTAAGGTTATTTAAAAAACTATTGGAGGGACTTTTCAGTACCAATACAGCTGTTAAACCCATCTTAGCTTTTCTATTTGAGATTTAATATAGGTGACCAAAAGACCAGTGTCATGTTGCTTGAATAAATATGCTAAATATTCTCACTAGTTTTGTTGTTTTCTCAATGACTTCCTTATAAGACCAGATAAAAGTTCATCTTTCATTAGAAGGAAACATAAACATACGCCTGAACACCTCTTAAAATCCTTCGCATCAGATTGTTACTTCAAGTTGCTACTACTATGAACATACCTTGTACTGCAAGAAGCTGCTCTTCTGTGGTCCAACGGGCATTGATTTTCTGATTAGACTATTAAAATTAGAAAAATGGCACAAAGATCATTAAAATGTTTCAACAGCTGTAAAATATCTGAGCATTAGAATGTGTTTTAGTCACATGACAGACTGTATTACATAAGTAAAAATCTCTTGATTGTAAGCCATAAAGCTTTACTTTCATGAACAGGACATAGCATTTAAGGATTTGAGCTTAGATCTACAGCAACAGTTTTTCCTCTGCTTTATTACAGTTCTTCACCTACAACATAACTAAAGCACAAGCTAACGATCTTTATGCAGGCAGAATTTGAATTTAACTGTAAAATTTATCTAAACTATTAGAACTTGCTGGTGAGAGTGTTTTGCATTCGTGTTACGTTTCATTTGCAAGCCCTTAAAACAAGCAAGAAGAGAACCTCTGTAGTAATATCACACACTTCAAATGCCCAAATTTATATATACTGATGTTTTCACAAAGAACATAGAATTTACTGCTAGCAATCCAAATAAACTACTTTTAACCAGAAAAACAATATATCAGGACTCAATTTCAGCTCCGTATTGTCATGAACGGATACAACATTTCAGTTTCTTCTGCTTCTTTATTCAGCCAGTTGCCATAAAAAAGCCTACTACTAATTTCTTGTAAAAAGACCAGACGGACTCACCAAAGCATGTTATTCAATGGATCTTGTTTAAGCTGCTGCTGAAATGCAAACATTTTGCTGCAGCAAATCATATTTCTGTAGCTTCCCACTAATGTAAGTGCAAGGCCACAAGTTCTGATACTTATTCTGATTTACCTCAGGAGGTTTGAATTCTTCAATCCCGCCTTCCATTTTCTGTTTAAGTGCACTGTTTACTTGCTTAGCATTTTGAACCTTGGTCAAAAACAACAAAGTTAATCAGCTCCACAAAGAAAGTTGGTCACTTTACACATATATCTTCACTAGGATTGCCACAAGTGTACCTCCTAAGTTAGAAAGAGAAATATTATGGTTTAAGGCTTCACTACTTTTAACCATTAAAGAAAAAAATAATAAAAGATGCAGCACAGTTCCCTATGGAGAGAAAAATATTTAAGCCAGTCTTTCAAAAGAACAGTCTGAAGAAATATTAAAAGAAGGACATAAAATGCAAGTTTTGATAATGATACATATGTTCTTGAAGAAGAATGCAGAATATATGGTTCTTAGGTTTCTAAGTGAAATGTACTGTGTACGTAAATTTCTTCCTTCTCCAAAAAGAACTTTGAAAAAAAAATGGAAAAGTATGAGGTGTTTCCAGTTAGTTGCTTCTGACAGACTGCTTTTTATTGATCTAAGACCATCATAACGAGGAAATTACTTAAAATATGTAAATAAAATACCTTGGTCTACAAAGAGAACTTCTAAACTGTACATATACATATCTGTTAACCATTTAAACCTGACAGTGATGCACATAAGGTAACACATTGAGAACATAGTTTTGCAAACTACGGTGCAAAGCTATTACAAGAGTTCTTTAAGTATGGACACAAAAACAGACAACGCAGTGGAGGATTCCAAAGGCTGCGTCCATGAGATCACTGCAAGAAAAGAAGAGAAAGACAACCTCAAGGATGTAACTCACCTACACTCAGGCTAAACAGTGAAACCCACCTATGCTATTTAGTCCCAAAGTCCTGCTGTGATAGAAAGAAGCATATTTCTCCTGCAAAAGAATACAAGGGAGCAAGAAGCCCACAAAACCCTTTGTTCACTCCATGACTTTGCAACATGGCAGCTCTTAGTAGTCTATAAGGAGGCAGAAATTCCAGGAGATAAGCCTTCAATTTGTAGCCACATCCCTCCTAGAAAGCAAGCATGCACATACTGCTGTACCCTTAAAAGCTTGAATAGATTCTCTGTTTCCACTTTAAGTGCCACAAGTTAAATTCTTCATGCAAAGGCAGGCAAGCAATAGTCCTCTTAAAAGTGAAGATTACAAAGCAGTTGTTTTAAATTTAACAAGAAGTAGAAAGCTCACCAATTCAAACAGAGAAATAACAAGATTTTTTCCCCTTGATTTTTCCCCCTTATACTTTCATGTGATGTGGGGTAAGACATCCAAGAAAACAGCTACAATTTTAAGCATAACAAATACAACTTCCACTGCTTCATTGGTCTTATTCTCACTTGTCACATAAATGCTTTTTAACAAGGTTAAGACAAAAATGTGACTTTGTTTTTTCTCCTCTTCCCAAATCAATAACATTGTTTTCATGCCATACTCCCCTCCTCCCCTTTTTAAGGGGTCATCTTGTTTCACGTTCTCCACAAAACACGTGAACAAAAAATAAAACTGAAGAACAGCTAGTGTCCAGCTTTTCTGGTGATAACTGTGGAACAAATTTGGAAGGCTTGCATTAAAGAAGGTTCACAATCTTCACAAATAATCTTATAATCTATAAAATCATTACAAGAACAATTTGAGATGAAAACAAAACAAGACCAATAACCCATGGTACCTGTCGCTTTAATGAGATTAGTTCCATATCCAGCTGTCTAAGAATTGTGTTGGCTGCATTGGGACTACAGGAAACAGCTATCACATCTTCCTGGGTCAGGTACATGCCTTTTGGTGGACGGCATTTGGAACGCTGAGAATGGTGGCGATGCTGCAAGCTCTGATACTCTCTTCTACCCAGCCCTATTTTGCTGGTCTGAACAGGCTGCTCATTATTGCCCTTTAATTTACAAGAAATAAATCATTAAAGAATAACAGTAACTTACATTCAATTTCTCTAAAGAATAATGTATTGCATAGCATTGTAATGTCATGTTTATGACCCAGAAAACCTAACCTAACATCCTTCTCTGCATGCAGTATCCAAACTAAGTCTCACAGATGCAGCAATATAGCATACTAGCCATTTGCTGGATAAGCCTGCATTAGTCAGGCTTAGAAAGGTCAAATTTTCAATCTTTTTTTTTTTTTTTCCCCTCTTGTACAGAGATGAAATACAGTAAACTGTAAAGAATCACAGTAACAATACTGGAAAAGAGGACTGGAATCACAAACCTCTTAGGTAAGCAGAAAATAAAGAATATATACACTGTATCTTTAAACCAAGTAATGAGGGGATTTATATACATTTCATTCTGGTTAGCTACAGAGATATCAGGTGAAAGCTGAAAGGTGAAGAATCAGAGAAAGTCAACCAGGACTGGCAAGAATGCATGATGGCACTTTTTCCTGCTGCAAGTACTCCAACTTGGAAAGCAATAGTACTGTTTGTTTTGAGAGGGGATTTGAGATTTGGAAGAGAAAATTAATTTACCTTTGCAGTCTTTATAAAAGTCCAAGCAATTTAGCAAAGTTAAGCCTTTATTTTTCATTTTTTTTAAGTGGAAAGGGACGACAAAGAGGAGATAAAGTCATTATAACTGCTCTTTTGATATGTTTGGATGCCTAGGAGACCTTTGCTAAAAGTTTCAGCTTTGTCTTCAATAGGCGTTGTTGCACAACAAGCTAGTCTGCACCTGTGTGACTCTTGTAGAGCAACTGGGTAGGTTACCTACAGACCAGGAACGGAAAAGCAAAACTGACTGTCCCTGTAAGGATTTTTCAGTTCAGAACAACACTGACTACCAAAACAAAGATGCGATTCTGGCTTTTTTTGCTACCTCAAACAGCTCCTCACTGCTCCTTCCTGCTGACATCCACGCAGGACTTACAGAGGCTAACTTAAAAGCACTTAGGATATTTGTTCCACCTTCAAAGTTGATATAAAACCTTACACCTTAGACATCTACAAATTTCAAGGTTAAGCATACTTCTGGCCCATTTATACCATTTGTCTTCTGGTTCAACATTGCTCTTTCAGTGTGAAATTGCAGTTCTTAGCTGTTTAATCTAGATTTAAAGAGAAAACATTCCTTCAAGTTTCTGTCCTGCCAGGCTAGAGGGTTTGGCTTGTTTTAGCTTTCTCTGGCAAGAGAAATTAAAATTGCCCTGTGCATTTAAGTAGCCCATTCACTTTATGTTTTACTTAGGAAGTGAAAGTATGCAAATCTCACCAGAAATATTAGTTCATGTAATTATCTATTGCGGATGAAATAGCTGTTCAGAAACTGCAAAACTCATTGTCCCGTTCCTAGAAGTCTATGAACATGCTACTTTCATGCTGGAACATGTGTCGTGATTCTAACAATAACTAAGTAAATAGCCATTAGCAACAAGCAGCTTAGGCGGCAACTCAAACCAACAGATGGTAAGAACATTGTTATAATGGCAGAGTAAAAATGTTCATTATCAGAGCTTGTGCCATTTCAAGTTCTAAACAACATATACAAGCATGTAAAAAAAATAAATAATCTCAAACTCTTATACAGAAAGGTGTCTTTGTAATTGTCCTTTTTTCCTACCTAAGGTAGTTACAGAGAAAAAGTGGTACACTGAAGGTCGTGGAAAACAGAATGGAATCTAATACCGCCAGTCTCTTACTCAGCATCATTTTTGGTAGAACCACAATGTTTTATTAATAATCCTAGACGCTACTTTATGAAGATACTATTTCAAGATGGGATATTGAAATTCTGCGCTGTCCTTTCCTCTCATTCTCAAGGAGCACAAACACTCAAATTTTAGGAAAATCACGAATACATAGAAGTTGATCAAGAAAACAAATGTTTACATGTGTAACTGAGCTCTTCTAGTCTTGCTCATAAATAACATTTATGAAAATAAAAATAATAACCTGAACATACCCCATACACAGCACTTATTCGTAAAACTAGGAGCAAGTGCTCATTTAATGAGACAAAAATATTTTTCTGTACATCTACTTGTAGGAAGCATCTCAATAAAGCCACAGATCAGTTGAAATGCATAACCTCACTGTGGCTTTGAAAGAACAACAAAAAAGTTATTCTTAGAAAAAATGTCATTTACTTTTACAATAAAAACATTTAGTTTCCGATAATTCACAACCAATACAACTGAAAACACACAGTAACAAGACAGAAGTAGGGGGCATGTTGTTTTGCCAGGTAGTGATAGCACGTCTCTTGTAAAACTAAGATCATTCAGGAGATAGCAAAGGTTTGAGACATACATTAAGCCCCAGAATAGAAAAAAAAAATATAAAGTTTAGTTTCGTTGGAAAGTAAAAAGTAAAGTTTAGTTGGAAGCCATAAAGATCTCAATAAACTAAAGACCCCATGATTTCATCAGGCTGCAAACAGGTAGATGTTAAATTGTTACACGTCTCTACTGCAAATTATGCTGTTCACAGTAACACAGAAAACAAACAAACGGACATTCACCATTAAGTTATCTGTTACCTCCTTTTTGGCTTCTTTTTTGGGGTCATAATCGCTATCATTTCCATCCATTGGATGAGCTTCTTCTACATCATCATCACTGTGGACAGATAAGAAGCTAGTCACGTTATCAAATTTTTAATCCCAAACGGTATGACAGAATTATCTACTCTAAAATATCTATTCTAAGTAGTCAAGCTTTATACATTATATGACATCTCAAAGGTATTTGTAGTTTTCAAAACAGAGCTTCTGCAAGCATGTTTCTTTTAATAAATTCTGATAATTTCTACGATAAACAAGCAACCCTGAACTGTAGTTTCAAAACCACTTGTAAGACAGTTTAACTGGCACCACTGCCAAAAAATTTGATGTCACCTTTCTTCAATTCAACCACTTACGCCAGCGTGAACACTTAGATGGTCAACTATATCAAGGCTAGAAATAACCTTTCATTTGTCATGTTAGTTTTAACAGAGCAGTTTTCTAATCACTGCACCAGATGTACGAATAAACCCTTGTTTAGGTCTGTGGGGAGCAGAAGAGGACAATATAAGATGGGAAAATACAGGACTATTTTTCGACCAGTTAAAAGTGCTCAAGAGCTAAAAGCTTAGGAGGGGAAGGAGAAACGTGCAATCTGCTGTATTTATTCAAAGACAAAAGATTGAAAAGAGAACGGATTTTCCTAGTCCAATCCAGCCATTTACATAATACCATGTCTGACTAACCTGAATGTAAAAAACAAACAAACAAACAAACAACATTCTATTTACCACAAAACCCCAAAATGCTGTATTAGAAGCAAACTGATTGTCTTCCATGATTTTTCAGCTATCCGGCCATAAAGTAAGCATATGAATTTTTAAATTTCAGGAGGTTTTTCTTTTCATGAGCATAATTAATTACACTCTTTTACTCTGGTTTGTCAGTGTTTCATACATGAAAAGTCATGCCTTCTGATAAACATGATTATGGTACTTACACAATGAAATTATTAAACCACTTTAAAAAAGGTGAGGGATAATACAAAAGTATACTTAGCGCAATGTAATTTTAATTTCATAATAACTAGGTAAAATGTCATTCCCCTTTAACCAAGGCAATTTAACACTGTTTTGAGCTTTGATTCTCTTTGACTCATAATAGTTCTATGTCTCCTGAAAATAAGATTTATACAAAAATGTTTTAAAGTTTTGCTATAAAATATTACTTAGGCATTCTAACTGCTACAGACCTTTGCAGCAGTTGAGCTTTTAGTTATAGTTCCATCCTAGTTTAAAAAACAAAACCAACCACACAAAAAAAGCCTTGCACCCACACACTCTCCTCCCAATAAAATAAAAGATAGGGTTACATTTCCCGAATGAAGTGGCATTTCTAAACCACATTCCCAAACTTTGTGTTCTTTAAACCCATTTTTACAGCTATCAACTAAGTATTCAGGTGTGTTATAACAACTGATACTGACCGGAGTAATACAGTTCTTAAAGCACAGGTATCACACCCCTTGCTAAAAGCAGAGATACCACAGATGCTCAAACATAAAAGTACAGTTCATGCTTAAGCACAGTGTCTGGAAATTACTAAAAAATCTTTACCAGAAAGACTTCAAGTCTCTAGTCAGCTACTTAAGAGTACAAAACTTACCTGTCACCTTGATTATTTCTATTAGCTAGCTTTCGAGCCTGACGATCCATCAGACTTGTCCTAGAGCGAGTTTTTTTCCAAGAATAGTAGTATTTTACAAGGCTCGCAATAGTCTTGTCTGGAAGCTAGAAGAATTTGTTAACATATTAATATAATTTTTCATTAACATTCCACCGAAGTTTATAATTCTGTTCTGTTTACAACCACCTTTACCCAAATACCTTAAACACATGGATGAGATTGAAACAAGGGATATATTTTGTGTGAATTTTTAAAAAGCTGGGGGGGGAGACAAGGAGGAACTTTTTTATTAGAGAGGAAAAGCTATAGCTTCAGGAGACACGAAGAAATGAACTTAAATCTTACATTCTAAGTTGTGCCTGAAGCTTCTGTGCAGAAATCAAGATGAAATTTTAGCCCAATGGGAGCCCTTGTTCCAAATGCATCTGAACTGTTTAATGCTACTGATCAAAATTTTACTTTACCATTTGCTGGATCCTGTGAAAGCTCTTTCCATGGAAGCTAAATGCTTGTTCAAATAAGACTTTATCTTCAACTGTCCATTCATCAGGGAAAGGAGTGAAGTTAGGGAGATCCGCAAGGGACTTCTCAATATTGTGTTTATGCCAGAACAACATGCCGAGAGCCTTTGAAGAGAAATAGTCCCTTTTTGGATTTAGTCAATTTTCTAAAACGTCAAGACAAGTTACATTAAAGAGGCAAGCATTTATTTTACATAAAAATCACTATCAGAACCCATTCTCAAAATGTATTTACAATTTATTGGCTATGTACTTATAGGTTACAAAAATTCTCTTTGGAGATGGTGTGAAGAGTGGGCACATCTGTACTTTATTAAAGCTATGACAGCTAGATAATTTAAGGTCGGCATGGCAGCAGTACTTCTCAAATAGTATAAACAAGATTGACAGGCTCAAATCTGACCTGCTTTCTTCCTTCACAAGTATGTGTCACCTACATAGTTCCGTATAGGCATTCAGGCCTTTATTACCAGCCTACTCAAAAAAAAAAAAAAAAGAAAATAAAAATACTTTTCAGCAGCCAGAGGATCATCCAAAATGCAAGTCTGACAGTTCAAAGTGAGAGTGGTCTTTCTACAACTCTCCAATCCACACATAACAGCACGACTGCTCCCATGTCACATGCACCTAATAAGGAATGGAAATTTAAATGTATTTTTTTATATATATATGGCTCATTTCTTCATATTCTTAAAGAATTTTAGACTAATTAGACTTACTGCCAGAGAATCAATGACAGACTTGGCATCAAGTCTGGCAAGGGAATTGGGAAACGCAATCCACTCAGTTTCAACCATACAGTGCAGACATGATCGCCAGTTGCTCATCAGCTCTCCAGACCCCCTGACAACACATCTTCTAATAACCTGGACATAACAAACCTCTTCTCATGTTAAAATGGCAACCAGCAAGCATCTCTTGCAAAGAGAATTTCTATTCCACTGTGAACAACCTACAAAATACTTTGTACTATACGTAGCTTTGAAAATTAGTCCTTTTGTAGACTTATTCTGAGATCCCTCTGTTCCCTTTCCCCTAACAGAAGCCAAGCCATAAATAAACATTGCCAAACTGCAGTGCTCTCGGCACCATAACAGTGGCAGCATCTTCTTCGGCTAACAATTGACGGACAACTAGTAAGTCTTTGCTACCACGAGGTTTCATCCTCCAAAAGTTGATCATACACCATGTTCCTATTTGTATATCAATTTTATATATATATATATATATATATATATGTAGTCTCAGTTTTACATAAATTAGTTAATGTACAAAGAAAACTGCAACAGAACTATGTGCAGACCAGCAAAGTTTTAACCTGTACTTTTTATGGGACGGTGACGAAAAGTTACTAAAAAATATTAAAATGATCTTATTTGTTACTCTCAAACACAGAATTTGATTCTGTTTTCCTGCATCTAGGAGAAAAAAAAAACTCTTAAAGTTGTTTTGCTTTTTTAAAAATATGCACGAGACCTTACCACTTCTATCCCTATCCCAATTAATGGTTTATAATTGTATCATATTTGCATTCTAGTATTAAACACTGATTTTGTTAGCTACTTCCCTAAGAAACTCTTTAGCTAAATATACACACACAATTGCATGACATGCCCAGTGTATCAAGAAACATACCAAACCTTTCAAAAGTGCACATTACAAGCTGAGCATGTCATGAAAACAAAGAGCTCAATCTTTTGCAGAGAATCCAGAGCACAACTGTATGCAGATCCATTTAACTGCAGTGTTTGCTGCCGTGCCTGAAGAGAAACAGCGTTAATTAATGGTAACCAAGGGGAAAAAAAGAGTCGTGTTATACATTTATATTAACAAATCCTTTAAATTAGCACTCTCATTTCATGGCACTTACCTGTTCCACATTGTATCCATGTTTTTCCTTTGCTATTGCTATATATTCATCCACTGTAACAAAGCAATGTCAAAGTTATTCTTCAATACTTAGAGTTCTGCTATAAGGTCACACAGCATTAGCCATCTAGAAAGGGAAGACAGGCTTCCCATGCCTTAATACACTACATAGGCCCTGGACTCCCTAAACAATAAATGTATTTGTAGCTTTATTCAAAGTAAAGAAGCTCACTGTCTTTAATACATTTAATTTTGTATTGAAGTTTATACACTAATCAGAGACTGGCTGTTTAGAGAAAGTCTGTCTTCTTGGAATCCACTCCTCTCCTAAGAGCACAGACACAATGGGGGTGCCCAGACAAATGTTAAAAAAATAATGTAAATAGATTCTAGATCAATAACTATGCACATCCTTGATGCTAACATAATTTTCACTGACCAACATCAATTTTAACCGCCACATGAAGTCAGCTTTCAATAGAGAACACGAACATTCAATGAAGTCACTAACTTCACCAATATTTTTTTAAATCATATTTTTGTATATTAGACCCAGCTTTGAGTTGAACATTTTCCACTATTGGGCAATTAAGTCTGATGGAAGTCCTGCTAGTTTTGATCTTCAACAGGTACTCTATTTCTGAAGAAACGAACTCATCCCATTCACCCATTGCAGTTCACAATTAAGTGACAACTAAATTAAGTTAAAAGGGAGCATAATTGAGAAAAGGAAATAATTATATCTTCATTACTCAAACGAAACAGAGATGTCCTTGCCATGAACTGCTGCAGCAAAGAGTTAATCGCACTTTAAATGAATGAAGAAAATGTTCAGTAATCAGACCTGTATTTTATTTCTAACTGTTCTTCAGTAGAATAAGGTACGCTCCCTCAAAGGCGAAGAGGGGCACAAACCTCTAACTACTGGTAATAATAGAAACTGTCTTGAGGACCAGATTCTCATGACTGCATCCTCAAAGTTTATTACCCTATACTACATATGGGGAATCCTATCATAGGAGGCAGTTTGAAACTGAATTAAGCAGATAAAATCACGTTTAGTCAGATGATTCTACTCTGATGATTCTACTATTTCATGTCACTTTTGCAGAGAGAAAATGCTCAGTTTTTCCTGATGAGAAAGAAAAAATAATATTCCCTTGAACAGGGCCTTAACATATCTTTCTTGAACATATCCATTGCAATTACTTCTCTAAGAAATTTAGAGTGACAAGTGCCTCATGTTTAGGTGTTTTATTTCTTCATTAATAATCAAAAGGTTTCAGACATTGGTCTGAAACATGTAACGCAGGCACCGTGATTTGAAACAAAGACTTGACTACAAAGTAAGAGAAGGGGATCTTTCTTTTCGCTATGGTTCTCTAAATGAAAACAATGTTTCTCTTTTATTTTAATTTACTAATTTGGAATTTCACTATGTATAAAGCAAAGAGCAAACAAGCATACCAGAAACAATTACATAGTTTAATTTCAACATTCAAATTCCTAAGCAGGGCAGGACTTACACTTGGCATCCGGAATACTATGATATGGAGACCATACGAGCATCCCTCCATTATCTTTATCAGTATATTTTGTGGCACCTGTAAGAAAACAAGCAAGTCTTAGTATTTATAAATACGATCTTCGGAACAACTATTCATGGGACACGAAGTAAAAGTCAACCATATTAAGAAGTCCGGCCCAACTAAAGTGAGGGGAAAAAAAACATTAATTCCACATTAATTCTTTAAGACATTGTATAGCTGACTTTCAGCACTGCTCTAAGAAGGTTCAGTCATGACTGTTAGATAAGATCCTACTTACCACAATTTGAGCATTAAAGCCCGTTACTAAAGTTGACATAGATGCCAAGTTTAAAGGTGCTTGTTTTTGAACAGTTCTTAGGGATTCTGATTGTCTACCAGCACTACAGACAGTTCTGATTTCTGTAGCCATGCAATTTTGATATTCACAGCCAACCAAATTGCTGTAGGAAGTATTTAGATTGAAGAGCCTTTGTTTGTTTGTTTCTGCTTCTCCTCCACCTGAATGCAGCAAGGGAAGCAGCCTAAGCCACCTAGCAGGAGGCCAAAGCCCGTTTTGCAATACCAATGCAACTTTGTAAAAAGCACTAAATCACAGTCTCTGATTTTAAGAACAGATTTCAAAATAAATTACCCAATATTGGAAAAGCATCAACTAATAGTTACCTTCCATGAGTATTCTACAACTGTGTGGTAGTACAGAAAAGCTCTTATGGTCTGTTTGTTTACAACAGCTTCTCTTGCTAAGCCATTGCTCAACAACTGGAGCATTTATACTAGTGTCAGTATAAACTCCTCGAGGAAGCACCCCAGAAGAACCTAGCTTGCATCTTTCCCGGAGACAGACAGATTTATTTCCCCAGTGAAATAATTACTTTTTCACTCCATTTTAAGCTTTCACCCTTTATATTTAGGTTCTACATTTTGTTGAGTGAAATAAAAGAACAACAATAAAGCCAACAGTGCTTTGGAAAAGATAACTACTTAGTGCTTTCTAATCTTGTACTGTGTTTTGTTGTTCTTCCCTCTTTAGCTTGGCAGCATTTTGTACTTGCTATCATCATTGCAGTCTTTAGATCCATTATGATTGTGAACTTGAGAACGAGTTAATCAGAAATGCTAAAAGAACTCGTGTGTTGCCTAAAATCTGTACGACAAGGAACTGCAACAAGTTTAAGAATATGCAGAGAAGCCATAAAGCAACACTTTCAAAGCATAAGCTACACACCACAAACAAACAAACAAGCAAGGAGCAACCTTTGCAAGTTTAGTAGAAGAAGAGATTCCTTAATATAACATTCTACTTCAGATAAGGAAAGTAAGCAACTGTTAATCGTTAGGAAAGCAGTATTTTTGTGGAGAGTGATGCAAACCTGTTCCAGTCACATAATTTCTCTCATCCAGTCAGTTTTTATCAGAAGGAAATGACAGTTACTCTGTAGCCCACTCTTTTGGTAAGAGATGAGTAGAGAATAGGACGACCACGAGAGAAAACATGAATTTATCAGTTTCCATTTGTGCACATAAAATGACTAATGGAAGCATACCCTCATACCCCTTTTTTTTTTTCCTTGGGAAAAAAAAAATCCAGACAGACACCTGCAGAGCAGTTTACATCACGGACATTACCGGCTATCAGGTATTCAAGTCCTGAGGTAAAAAACTTAATTTGTCATCTCCTTCGCACCCGCAGGACACCACGCGTGCGGTGCCACGCTCAGGGTGCCAGCTGCCAGCAGCACGCCCTTGGGAAGCAGCACTGTACTCCGGCAACAGCCAGACAGCTGCACCTTTCAGGTGCCACCTCCACGTTGCTGAAAGGAAAGCAAGGTGACAGGCAGCGCGGGATGCACACAGGGAGGTTGGTACTCGTAGCAAGGCATCCTGACCTCAACCCAGGGTATCCATGGCTGCGGCACAGGTCACCCCGTGCCACAAGCATGCCCAGGTTCTGCCTCATGTGAAGAATTTTGTCCTTTGTGCCCTGCATATGCAAGCGAGCAGCACCCTCCCACCCCTAAGAAGGCCGCGTTGCTTCCCAAAGGTGACGCGCTCCTTCTCTGCAACACTTACTGGGGACAGAGGTTGGAAACACCGGGCAACACGGGAACCCACGTAGGTTAGAGGAGCAGAGCTGCATGCCGGTAAGGAAGATAAGAGCCCACGAGCTACACCTCTGACACAGCCTTCCCTCCCCACCCACATCCAGAACACTTCAGAAAAGGTTTCTGCATGCGGTTGCTGTGCCCCTGCCCTCACCCCGCGGGGAACGGGGCTGACCCACGGGCACTCCAGCTGCTTCCACCACTGCAGCAACACCTTGGCACATGCTCGATCTCAGTTTAGCGTTAGTAGAAGTTAGGTATGCCTGGAAAATGCTGTTCTGTATGCGATTACAAGTACTGAGAATAAAGTAAGTACCTAGAAGCACATACTACTTAACAAGGGCATTGGGGGGGCTTGGAAAATTCAAAAGACGCTGTTTTCCAGCATGAAAAGTCCCATCTTCTTCTTAAGAAAGCTTTTGAGGCTTTTTGAGGAATAAAACCACAGAAACTAGCAGGAGAAAGAACTAAGCTTTGAAAATAAAGGATTGGACATCTTAAAAAAAGAAATCAGGGACAGATGGCAGGGAACAAACAGAAAATTGTATATTCTTCACCACGCCATTTAATAATTTCAATTTAACAGTCTGTTTTCATATAGAGGTTAGAAGGAGAAAATTTGTAAGAGTGTACAAAGACATGGAATCCATAAATGACCTTAAATGCTACCAACGCACTCCTCTTAATACCCTCCCTCCCCACAAGAGCATGAAAGACGTATTTCTGCATTAAGTGAGCAGAACTCATCCTTAAAGCCTTTGGGAGCTCATGACCTGGCAGAGTTAGGACTACAGCCATGCTTTATTTGGAGTAAAACAAAACTTCTCTAGCAGCATCTCATGAGGATCGCACAAAGCATGGTGCATCCCCAGTGGTGGCCCGCAGTACAAGGACACCAGCTCCCTAACAGCCTGCTCCAGCAGGAGGTGGGGCAGAGAGCAGAGGCAGACATAATTTCACCTCAAGAACATAAGAATATATATAATATAGCAGGAGGAGACAAAACCTGGAGTGCAGGAGATGGTTTATTAACTCAGTAAATTAGGTATGGAGATCCACGGGGTTTATTTTATTAAAACCATTTTTCACAGCAAGCAAATTTATATCGGTGTTTTTAATTGTCATTACATCTAATGGCAATTTGTTACAGCTCTGTCTGAAGGCTTGCCTGTAAAATGGGGGTGCTGTGTAGGAAGTGGAAAGGGTGAGCATGTTTCAGCTAACTTCTCCTAGTTGCTGCTTTCAATCACTTGTCCTCCCCAAGAGGCTGACAAAGAGTTGATTACCTTTTTCTTAAACCATTTCTTATTTTATACACGAACTCCGGTTAAAACAAACTTACTGTTGTCACAACCTTAATCATGAATGTCTTGTTCCTCAACAAATTGTTGCAAAGCATTGCTTACAAATATTGATAAATGCTGGCTAAGCGAGGCCAAAGACTTGTTATTTGTTCTACTCAGTATTCTGTACGTGTACCAGGAGCAGGCTTTGTACCTTAGACTATCTAGTTTCACCTGACGTTGACTCCTGCCTTCCACCTATTTGATTTAAGGGGGCTAAGAAGCATTCAAAATACTGTAAATAAATACATACTCTTAACATACCTGGTAAACAGTCAGAAAAAAGGGCCTTAAAACAATCCCAAGAAGAAAAAACATTAAAATTAGTAAATTAGAGATAGTGCCTGCATCCATATATGCAAACCTGGACGCCTGATGGAATGCCCATTCCATCATTTGTGGCATGAAAAAATAATCATCTATGTGCCTACTTGAGAAGACAACAAGAGCGCAGCTTTTTGCTCAGTATCTCTCACAGATGCTGCCTCGAGAGTCATCAGAAAGAAAATATGAAAGCATGAGGTCTTGCTGAGATCTCCTCAGATAGCTAATCTTATAATGCGGTATGCATTGTATTTTTATACTTTCTGAAGTTTTTTAGTTTGTTATTTTTCATATAAAAGATTTAGCTGTTCCAAGGAAGTTAGTTTTGTCACCCCAATAATCAAAATTTGTGCATGAGGAACAATATTATACATCTTCTACAAGACTTAAAGAAAAGTTTCCATCATTAAGGAGCTGCTCTGATAAACTAAAGAGTATGCATTAATCCCAGTTGCTGGGGGAGGGAGCATCAATTGAATGCTAGCCCCCTAAACAGCATGTTCAAGCTCCAAGATGCCTGGTTATAAGAGAGGATAAAATTAGTCCTGTAGTAACCAGTGCAATGATCCTGACGCATATGTAGTTTACAAAATTGAAACTACAGAATCTCAGTCATCCTAAAAGGGGTGAAAAGCCCTTTTAATCAGAGGGAAAACAAACGCTCTGCATTTTTCTAAGTGGCCTGTAGGAAGAACAAGCCCAGGCTACACGTTAGAAACGATCATTTTTATTTATTTTTATGAAAAGAGAAGGTGTAAGCGGTTAGTCTCATCAACAAAGAGACCTGGGCTACGCTCCCCTTTCCGGGGGAAAGGCATTCCCTTCTGCCAAGAACCCGCATCCATTTAATCCCACCCTCTCCCCTTTCTTTTCCCCTTGGCCTTTCTTCGGCCTGTGGGGACTCGTGCCCATCAACAGGGGCTCCGGCTTTAGGAGGCACCGTGCGAGCAGCTCCGGCCCAATCCTCTTCCGGTGGGAAATCATCTGACACCAATGGAGCCTGCCTGGAGAACAGCAAAGTAGACGGGCTTCAGCAACGACAACCGAGGAGCCCTCCTCCAGACCTCGCCGCCCGCTGCACCACCAACCGGGCACCGGGCGGGGCGGGAGGGCCCCGTACCCCCGGGGGCAGGGGCCGGGGGGGATGAGGAGGGTGAGGAAGGCGGCTGGGGCTGCAGCAGAGGTGCCGGCCAGGCGCATCCTCGCTCTGGGCATCGCCACCTCCTCGCTCTGGGGGAATAATAGCGGGTGGCGAAGGGCGAGCGCCTCAGGGAGAGCGCCCAACCTTGCGCTGCCTCAGCTGCTAATGAAGTGTGTGCCCCCCCCCCCACAACCCCCCCACAACCAGCACAAAGCCTCAGGACACCCCCCCATCCCCCCAACACACACACACACTCGCACTCTGGTGAAATAAAAATAATAACGAGGTAAGAATTAAAGATAAAAGCAGCCGTTTTACCGGGCTCGAAGTCGGGGATGCGCGCCTGGTATTCCGCTCCGACCCTCATGCCTACATCTGCAACACAGGAGGGGGGGGGGGGGGGGGGCGGCGGTTAACGGCCGCGCCGTCCCAGCCCAGCGCCGTGTGGCGGCTGGGGGGGGGGGGGGAGCCGCCCGGGAGCCCCCCCGCCGCCGCTCAGCGCCGAGCCCCCGCCCCCGGCCCCCCCCCTAAAGCCCCCCCCGAAGCCCCGGCGACCGCCGGGGAAAGGGGCGGGGGTCGGGGGAGGTGGCTCGGCAGAACAATGGGGCCGGCGGCGGGTGGGGGGCGGGCGCGGTGCCCCCCCCTCCATACACACACACACACCTCAGGCGCCGCACGGGGGCGGTGAAGGGGAGCTGGGGGGGGGCACGGGGAGCAGCACAGGGAAGCCCCGGGGCGCCCGGGTCTTGCCTCACGGAGGCTGCGAGCCCTTCTGCATCGCGACACGGGCCGGGGGGGGGGATGTGTGTGGAGAAAAAGCGGCCGCAGCACTGCCCACCCCCCCGCTGTTAACACGGAGCCGCCATGTTGCCCCCTTCCTCCCCCCTCACGCCCCCCTTCCCTCCCTCATCCCCCCCGGAATCCCTCCGCGCCGGCCCGGCCGGATCTAGGCGGGAGGGCGGGGCTGCCGGCGGAGCCCCCAGCGGCGGAAGGATTCGAGCCGCAGCACAGCGGCTGAGGGGCTCCCCCGTAGGGAGGGGGGGAGGGGGGGGCGGGGACTACTTTTTGTCGCCCACGCGGGAAGGGGGGGGGAGCGGCCGCTGGTGGGGGGGGGGCGGTTCGTACCGGGACGGGTCGGGGTGAGGCGAAATGAGGGCACGGGGGGGCTGGATGCAGAAATGGCAGCTCGGCAGGTAGTTCTCGGTGGCGTGATTCGCTTGTGTGTGGCTGCTTTTTTTTTTTTGTTAAAAAAATGCTTATTTAACATTTTCATTTTTTATCTTCCTGCAGCTCGAGTGAGCTCCCAAACGTCACCGTCCACGTCATGTCAAAATAACCGGATTTTTAAGAAAAACGGCTGAGACCAGCTCCAGAGAGAGGCTGAGCTGGAGATGTGGCAGCAGGCAGGGCGGTGAACCCAGGGATGTGTCTGTCACGTTTTCTCCCTACACGTACACATTTACTGTCACCTGGGGCCATATTTTCAATATACGATAAATAAAATTTGAATGCTTTAGTTATAATTTGTCAGTCTGATTTCCTCAGTTAAAAAAGCATGAGCTGAGCAGCTGAAGTTGCCCCTGCTCTGCATTGCAGTCACGTCTCGCGTTCTGCCTGGGACTGTCTGGCACAGTCGCTGTTACACTTTGTCACGTTTTAGCCATTCTTATCAAACTTCATCCCGCCAGCTGCCTGCCCAAAGTTTATTATTATCATTAAAGAGTGCTAGCGAGAACGGTGCAGCTGCTATCTTTCAGTGAGGTTAAGGAAAGATGACTAGGTAAGTGTTAGTGCGTGACAGGATCGCAACGGGATGCAGATTGCCATGTTTGCAGGCAGCTGTCTTTTGATGCTTGTCTTGAAATCAGCCCACTATGGTCAAATTAGAAACCTTTAAAAAAATCTCTGATTTACTTGTGCTTGCTGAAATATGACAGAAAAATACCGTCAAGATTTTTCCAATTGGGGGAATATCGTGGTCTTAGAAGAACTGTTTTTGCCACAACTTTTGGAAGTTGAGCGTCAAACATGAGAGAGAAAAACTATCTCTGATTCCTGTATGCCTACTGTTCACCCTCTCCAAGAGTTAATAAGGAAGACTATAGGAGAAGTAAGGAAGTAGGAAGCTCCCTGCAGAATCGTGGATCAGGAGAACATGGAGAAGAGGCTACAGAAACCCAAAGATGAGAAAAAGCCGTGTTCCTTATCACAAGGTTTTCTTGGAAGAACCATGGTGAACACTGAAGAACCAAGTATTACTGAGTAAAAAGTAATTGAAGAAAAATCTGATGTGGATGAAAGGATTGAATTTTGCTGATGATTCAAGATGTCATCTTTTTTGCTTGAGGACTAGTTCCCTGTGAAAGGTTTGTGAGCTCACTCTGTGTGTTCAATTGCCCTTCATAGCCCAGAAATTTTTGAATTGTTTGCATCTTCCACCCCAAATTAACAGAGGTCTCAAAGATAACTAAGCTCCCACCAGCTTTGTGAAGGTAGTTGGGTACCTGCAAGTACCTCAACAACCGAGGAAAAAGCTGTCATGTCATCTCATATTTTAGTATACACAAAAGAATTCACAGTAGAGAAAGCACTCACAAATACCAGAACCACAGGAAAATCTTCAGCCAGGGTTTGCACTTTAAATGCAAAATCAATAAAGAAACCTGCAGGAAGTTGGGCTGCTTTAATTTTAGTTCTTCCAGAACTGACTATTTGAGGCTTTTTAGCTTTACTTTGATAGGATGTGAGGTTTAGGCAGACGCGTGGAGTTATAACTGTGTATGTCTGCCAGTTCTCTTAACTGATAAAGCCACAGAAAATTACAAGTTAACGCAGCTTTCAGGGTTAGTAAATTGTTAATAAACATTGTGAGGGGAACCTGAAAAGAAGAAAGATTCCTCGTCACTAGGATTGGGAGGAGGATGGTCTTAAGAGTTTACTCCAAAGGACTGCTGTTAAAACTATTTTTCAAAACTGACATTAAAAACAACAACAACAACAACAACAACAACAACAAAACATACATTCACAAAGTCCACCACTAAAGAGTTAGCAAATACCTGTAGTGAGCTTTTTTTCCCCATGCAATCTTAAAATTGCCTTGCCTCCTAAAATACTTTCACTTGTATGGAAGCCTCCCATTGTTTTTTCCATAGTTCCTCTGTCACATTCAGTAATCCTGGGTTAGATGTATGCTAACACAGACTTGCTTGTGAGGTTGATCCTTCATTTATTGTAGAAAGTCTGCATAAGGAATTGTTTAGGACTATTTATCATGTATTTCTTTATTCTTAATTTTTCTTTCCACACATAATCTACAGAGGACAGCATAGCGATCAAGCCAAAGCACTCAGAAAAGATGGCTCAGGCCTCCTTTTGTCCTCTCCCAAAGCAGAAAAATTAAAAGTTTAAAATACCGATATTTATGCAGTCGAAGGATTCTTTGTATGAGCCTGCCAGTTTTTGAATCTTGAAGATTTGTGTTTCTTCTTACATCCCCAAGTTAGAGTTTGGAGGGGAAAGGTTGTATTTGAGCAGGAGGGGAGGGACTGCTGGAGTACAAAGTGGATTGCAACAGGGAGGAAGGGAATTGAGGAATGAAGAAACGTTGCAAATGAAGAAGGTGAAGTAGTCGCTTCTGCCTTTCAGCAGGGTTGCTAAAAGGCATTAGCAGAAATAGGAGATCAAAGGAAACAGCGTTTGCTAGCCATGAATTAGCTGCTCTTCTAACCCATATGGCTTCTGAGGTTGTTTCACACAGGTTTGAGGCCTCTTGTAATCATCTTTGTCAGAGCAGGTTCTTGGCATCTGTTGCTCAGTCTGAGATCAGGCTCTTAGACTGTGGGTTTCTGCAATTCATTATTATGTCCTTGCACTGAGGGATAATGAGAACATTAACTGTTTGGGGGGCGGCTGTAGGAAGCTGAAGGCTGGCTATTCAGAACAAAATCATTTCTTGAAACACTGGATCTTTGCACATGCTTTTATTACTATGTTGGGTCCATCTCATCTTTGACATTTCTAGCACCTCAGAAGTACTGCAGATCACACGCTTGGCCTTTTTGTCTTATAGTCACAAGTCTATACATCACTATTAATTTTTATTTATTTATTTATTTTACAAAGGGTATCTTGACAGTTCCCCAGCTTGAGAAGGTCACTTTATACAGTTTAATGTCTATGTGTTTCTAGATCTCTTGAAACAGGTCAAATTAATTTGTGTTGGTTCTTCAGAAGATCTGTGAATATAGAGTATGTTGAGTGAAACAGGGAGAAAACCTGTATGACCACGAACCCTTTTGGCAATATCCAGCCTGGAAACTTGTCCTTTTATGCAGAGATTTATAATTTCCTTTGGTATGAATGTTTCATAAAGAAAAGTATGCTCTTTGTCTCCCTAAGCACATTGAGGAAAGCATGCCTGGAATCAAGGTAATTTCAGATAAATTACACTGCTTGGAGTCTGTTCGCTGCTCTGCTGGAAAATGTATAGGTGTTACTTGTCAAGTACTATGTTTCTTTTATATTAAACACAGCTCAGCTGGCTGGATGCTAAGTGGGAGGCTTAGAAGTGGATAAGGTGAGATTTATTAGCTTCTTCAGACTGATGGTGGTTGCTCTGTTACGTGGAACATTCTTGAATTTTCCAGCAACTCCATGCTTTAGTGGAACCACTGGAAGATCCTGGAAGCCACGGGTTTTCTACAGCTCTGGAAAATCACACTGTCACTCTTAAGCTGGACACTCGCTAGTGTTTCTGAATTTAAGTATTAACATCTTTATTAAGGCTGAAACCGGTAAAGAGTGCAGAAGTTAAACTTTGTTCTATGACTGGCCAGTGAAATGCAATAAAACATCTGCTAACTGACTTGCTGCTGTTAATATCTCCCAACTGAAATTCGGGAATTCGGCTGTGTTTGCTTTATTTTTATTGCACTGTCTTCCCACTATAAGCTTCAAAAGCTATCTGCTCTCCAGATCTGGTCAGATTTATTTTTTTAGTTTAGTTAGCATCCTAGAATATAGATAGTCTGTATAATAAGAATAGTCAGTAACTTCTTCGTGGGAAATGGAGAAAATCATGTTGCAGTTTCTTCGAGAAGTCTAAGAACTTCAGCGATTATAAATACTTGTCTGTGTTTAAATACCTGCCTCCAGCTGATCAAATTGTACTCTTCTGAAACCTTTGCTAAAATTGGAGGCTACGCTGTGTTGGAAGATGGTGGTGGTTACGCCGGATGAAGCTGGAAATGTTCGGACTTTTCACCCTGTTACAAATAGTATTTTGAAGCCATTTATTTCACTATGGGATGGCTTATCTAAGAGCTAGCGTAATGGGTTAGTACTAATGTCCTCCTTGTTCATTACTTTGATCCTGACAATTACTAAAAGCAAAGGCTGCAGAGGAATTCATTTTGGGGCAGATGCCATAATCTGCATTCCTCCCTGGCGAGAAGCCTATTCTTGGTCTTTTAAAGATTTGTTAAAGCTCTGAAGCATAAAGCTTGATATCTTTCGAAAATAAAAAAAGATAATTACAATTTTGAATCCTCTAGATCCATTAGGAAAGTACCTGTTCCAGCTTTATGTATCAGTAGATTCTTCTTCCACTGACTTGCTATAGCAGTGAGTTCCACTGACAATGTAGGATGACTTTTCTGTTATTTTTCTTTTAATAGAAAAATGAAAAATTTTCCAAATACAACCTCTTTCTTGACAGGAGAGACAGGTGTTCCTGCTCAGCATTTTCAGCCTCATTATTTCATTTCTATACAGCTAACCTAAATCTCTGTTAAGCTGTCCCATTTACAGAAAGTAAAGAGGGTTCTGGGTTTAGCTGGTTATCATGATGGACTGTGGGAAAAGCCTCGGTTTAACTGGTTTAGCCTTATGTTACATAGACAACTTGAGACAAGAGGTCACTTCAGAAAGTCAGGCATCATTTCGCTACTTAAATTTGTCCATGTCCTCTTCAAAGTACATCAGTATGTCTTTGAATCACAACACTAGCATTTTGTATTGTCTGAAGATTCTCAGTCTGCTTATTAATACCCCATGCACACGGCTGAAATGGCAGCTTCTCTTTAAAATAATTTTTGTTTTAGGATTAGTTGTTCCCCACAGCAAAAGAAAATAAAATGTGGCCATTATAATTTCTCTGGTAAGCCATTGGGTGTTTACTTGGTCTTGTCTTATTTTTGCATACAATTACTTAAACTGCTTCTCACTGGACTGTTCATTGAAAAGCCACTCTCACCAAATCCATACTTAAAGATGTTGGACTTAGAATCATTAATTATGGAATCATTAAGGTTGGAAAAGACCTTCAAAATAATCAGGTCCATCCACAACTTAAAAAATGTTGCTTCTTTCTTCTACACAGCAATATGATGTCTGACTTCTCAGGCACCATTTTTTTTGTTTGTTTTTTATTTTTGCCAGCTGTGTTTTGATTTCTTGCACTTAGTGAACAGCATGGTAAACTCTTGCTTAATTCTTACTTGCCCATGTGTCTGTTGCTGTT